ATTAGCCTTGATTATAAATGTGCCAGTCTTTTGTTCTCCCTCATTGTTTACCATACTGGCTACTCTAATTGTAATCATCTTAGGAAATATTTCACTGCTGCTTTCTTAAAACAGACAGTAGCTAAACTGTTTGTTTCCTTTCTTTAAGGTTAATTAGTAATAAAGGTACATTTTTAACTTCATTTCTTTATTTTGTGAGCAACACAGCATTGTTTTAAATGCTTAAGATTTAAATGTTTAAAATTGTTTTTTAAAAGAAAGGATGCTGATTTAAAATTTAAAAAATTTTGTTGGTACATTATGATTATACATCCTAGTGGGATTCATTATGCCATATTTATACATGCACATAACATAAAATGATCAATATCATTCTCTAGTACCTTCCTTTTCCCTCCCTAAACACCTTCCCTGATCCACTTGTGCTTACYCTGAGACATTTGTTTTCAACACAAAGCATTATGAAACATTATAGTCCAGTGCTTTCTAACACATATATGCTTTGTGTAATGAAATGTATTATTCTAGTAGTAGTAGTGGTAAGAGCAGCTCACATCTACTGAAATKTTATTATTTGCCTTTCAGGTATGATTTTATATTTTCCTAAATTAGGAAAATATGAAATGGTAAAATCAGATGGCAAAACTGAGACAGAGAAATTAAAATCGTATCCAAAGTCATATATTAAGTAAATCTTTTTTTTTTTTTCCTGTTTGTACTAGGGATAGAGTCCACAGGCACTTTACCATTAAGCTATATCCCTAGCTCTTTTTAAAAATTTTTTTGAGGCAAGATCTCCCTAARTTGCAGTGGCTGACCTTGAACTTGGAATCCTTCTGCCTCCACCTCCCAAAAATGCTGGAATTATAGCCATGTGCTACCATGCCCAGCTATACAGCTAGTAAACTGCTAATACATGACTGAAATCAAGGCAATTCAGCTTCTAGGTTCTTGTTATTATTTACTCAAAAGTAAATACTTGACTCAAAAGTATAGCATGGTCAGCTTCCACGTGAATAAACATGCATCAAGAGCATTGTCTCACCAGGCACAGTAGGACATGCCTATAATCCCAGCTCCTGGGGAGGCTGAGGCAGGAGGATTGAAAATTTGAGGTCTGCCTCAGTAATTTAGCAAAACCCTTTTTCAGAAAACAAATTAAAAGGGCTGGAGATGTAGCTTATTGGTGGAGTTCACCTGGGTTTAATCCACAGAACCACAAACAAACAGAAAGAGAGAGAGAGAGAGAGAGAGAGAGAGAGAGGGAGAGAGGGAGGGAGGGAGGGGTGGGGGGGTGCATTGTCTCTCAATGGCAACACAGGATCCCTAAGGGTATAACAATTTATAAAACAGTCTTTATTTTAGGTATATAATACCATACCTGGCTCAAATTCTCAATTTCAGAAATTTGACCTGCAACCTCAAACTTTATGTTGTTCACAGTTTTTTAGTGATCCAAATGTTACTTTGATAAATATCATCTATATACAGTGTTGCATTCTTTTTTATTTTCTTAAATTCCTATAAGATTCTTGAGTCACTGTTTTTGAAAACTTTAGACAAATTTTGGAATTGCCTTTCAGAAGAATGTAAATTTCTTCAACTGTCTAAATCTCTGATACTAGGACAATTGTATTTCATTGTTTCATAAGGTTAAATTCTTTTTCTCCTCTTAGTTATTAGATAGTTATATTTCTTTATGTAAATTATCTGTTCATTTTCCTTATCCTACTTATTTGTGAAGGTATATTCATTTTTATTAAGGACACACACTCATTATATATTATGGTCATGAATTTTTTATCACACATAATGCAAATATTTACCAACAGAAGTTTTACATACAGATAAATTATCTATTTATATGTAAAAGTCCAAAGAATATTCTCTAATAAAAAGGGACTCAAGAAATATAATTCAGTCTTTGTAAAAGCAATCAAAGCTGTCTCTCAGTCAAGTGAAAAATGGAGCAAAATTAAGTCACAGTAGAGAAATCAGTGTCAATAAGGGATGATTTTTGAAATTAACTCTTGGCAGTCTTTGGTTGCACCTCAAGAAATGCTTTATTTTATGTGAACCAAAACAATTCCTGCTTTTCATCTATATAAGTATGTAATGTTATTGAGAAATTTTTTCTTTAAATGTGATGTTGTGAAAAAGCAAATTCTTGATTTCTTTCTTTCTTTTTTTTTCTTTTCTCTTTCTTTCTTTCTTTCCTTTTTGGAGTTACCGAGGATTGAACCCAAGGTGCCCTACCACTGAGCTCCATCCCCAGTCCTTTATTTTTTATTTTGAGACAGGGTTTTACTAAGTTGCTGAGGCTGGCCTTGAACTTGGGATCCTATTGCCTTAGCCTCCCAAGTTCCTTGGATTTTAGGCATGCAACACTATGCCTGGCTCAAATTCTCAATTTCAGAAATTTGACCTATGTTTCACTCTTAACTAAAAGATAGGTTTTTAAAACCATTGTAATTATGGAACATGAAACCGCCAAAGGAGAGAGAAAAACTTTCCAATGTTTTTCAATGGCCATCAAAGAGAAAATAAAATCTCTAGAAATTAATTTAATTCAAAAAAATCCTTTATAATTTAAAGACATTTCATTTATGAGTCTAATGCATCAAAAAAGTCTAGAACTTGATGTGATTTTAAATAACTTGATTTGAAAGGGAATTTATTGTAAGAAAATTATATTTAAGTAGAGACAAAGACCTTCCCCCCCCCTTTTTTTTGGCTCAGAAGGAGATGAGAAATGCCTTTTCAGGGACAAGATTACCAGCACAGGGGAACCCTTTGGCAGGAGGATAAATGGCTTTGGCAGAAGGCTGCCCTCCCAAAGAAAAAGACTTCAGCTTATTCTAAACCAGGGTGTGGTGATGCATTCCAGGCACAAGCGATACCCCTGCTAGTGAGGTGGGCCAGGCAGGTGCTGCTTGGAAATACAAGCAGAATTTCAAAATTCTCTCTCCTTTGTGGTGGAAACACAAACTTCTGGAAGTTTGCAGAGCTGCCTCATTAGAAACGGTGAGTTTTGAGATCCACCCCTTGTTCTCTAGGGAGGATAAGTTACTTTTCCTAGGAAGTAATTATGTTAGTAAAATATTACTAAGGCTTACAATGTTTTCCTTAGCCTCCATTACAAAATAAGTTATTAATAATATTAATAATCAATAAACACATTAAATGTAAATACTATAAACCCAGGTTATTTTTTGATACTTTCCCTTCATTTGCCAAAAAATAAACCATTTGTACATCCACAAAACTGAATTTGAAGGAGATTCTCATCTTTAATTTTAAAATGCTTTGAAATCCTTTTGTAGTGCTGCACGTACAGAAAATACCATGCACTCATTGTATGGAATAGGTGTGGTTTATGTGTATGCATATGTATGTATTCAGCCTACCTTTTCTAAATGACATTTCTAATTAAGGAAATTGCTATCTGTTTGAATACAGTTCTGGCAGGATGGTGACAAGCCAGCCATCCCATCCGTGTGTAATTACATGTGCAATTATGTGTGGTGTTGCTGATTTGGAGTGCTTGGATGTGATATGCATAAAGTCTTAGCAAGGCCATCAGAAATCCCAATCTTTGTGTATCCTTTTCCCTTTGATTCTGAATGAATAGCAATAGAAATAGTGGGTGGGGTGGTGGCAGAGATCCCTATACACATTCCTCCAGATATGGAAAATGAAAGAGCTACTCCAAAGCAAAGTTTCTTTTTACATTAAATCAACAAACCTTTACTGAGTATTTGCTACATGCCAGATGTTCATCAAAATCAGCTCCTTCTTGCTAAAGGTCTTGTTGTTCTCCTCCCTTCCCACAATCTCTGCAGACACAGTCCTTATTGTGTTAAGGTCTGGATCATTGCCTCATTAAGACTCCCTGCCCTGTGTACCCACTTCCTTGAGGGACTTGCTAGGTGGAGCTTTATTGGTAATAATCTGCTTATCATCCAATAAATAAGCCCCAAGATGGACATTTTAGAGAAAAAAAGAAGAGATTATATTATGAATATTTCTTATTCATTATAACCTGTGAAAATTTTAATGACTAGGTATTTATTATTCTATGTGTGCCTCAATTTCTTAATGTTCATCCCGCTTGTTGGATGTTTAAAATCTTTCCTTTCATTTCTTCCTAATAATGATAAAATGGACATCTCTGTTCTTCAAACTTGATTCCCAACCTGATTTATTTCTTAAGGGTAGAATTACTAAGTCATAGTTTGTGAACATTTCTAAGATCCTTAATTATCTCACCAGACTACTTTTCARTGTGTTTGTTGAAATTTAATCTCATTGGATGTGCATTTAGTGTTCCTCTCATGCCATCCTAACCCTCATTGAAAAATGAAAACTTTGAAAATCTTCACTGATTATTTTTTGTTTAATTTTTGTTTTTCTTATTACTAGTGAGACAATATTTTTCATGTGCTTATTAGACATTTTTAGCTTCTCTTTCATGAATTCTATGTTTATGTCATTTGCCCATATTTCTGTTGGAGTTTGTGTTTTTCTTATTCAATTGTATGAACTTACTACATACATATTGATGATGTTAACATTTTGTCTTTTTTATCATATTTGGGCTAGAATTCTTCCAAGTATATTATTTGTAGTCATATTATCACTGACAGAAATGAACTTTTTAAAAAATGAGGTCAGTTTATATTGTTTTGTATAGAAGGTAGTTTTTAATGCTTAAAAATTAAGAATATACACCTTAGAGATAAGTGTAGAAAACATCCATTTCAGAGCTTGGTCCTACCAGTTAATGCTTCTGATATTACCATTATAKTCTTAACTTCATGTAAGGTGGTGTGCTCATTACAAAATTATGAGACCAAGCGTTTGAGACAAGGTATTGAGCTGCTTTTGAACTGACTRGATTCAAGATAAAATTCTAGCATTCCCTCCTTCACCTACTTCAATTTTCTATAACTCCACAGGACCTGAATGGCAGCCCTCATATGGTCTCTTTTTCCTTTTAGATAATTCTTCCTTACTTCAGGAAGATGAGGAGGTAGAGATGGAGGCCATCAGTTGGCAAACCAGCAGTCCAGCTATGAACGGGCACCCTACCCCTCCAGTGACCTCTGCTCGTTTCCCCAGCTGGGTCACTTTTGATGACAATGAAATTAGCCTCCCTTCTCTACCAGTCACCTCTCCTCTGAAGCCAGATATACCATCTATTACATCTGTGGGCCCAGATGCACCTTTTAACTCCACTGGGTCAGTTAAGAGGGATCGTCCCAAGAGCACTTTGATGAACTTTTCCAAACTTCAGAAGTTAGACATTTCCTCCTTAAACCATCCACCTTTCATACCTGAGGCACCACCTTGGAGGGCAACCAATCCTTTCTTGAATGAGACTTTACAGGATATACAGCCCTCTCCTATCAACCCTTTCAGTGCTTTCTTTGAGGAACAGGAGAGGCATTCCCAAAACAGTTCCATTTCCAGTACCACAGGCAAAAGCCAAAGAGATTCACTCATCGTCATCTACCAGGATGCCATCAGTTTTGATGATTCAAGCAAAAGTCAATCACACTCTGATGCTGTTGAAAAACTTAAACAGCTCCACATAGATGATCCTGATCATTTTGGCAGCACAACACTACCTGATGATGACCCAGTAGCCTGGATTGAGCTAGATGCTCACCCACCTGGGCCAGCTCTGTCCCAGCCCAGGGATGGGTGGCCAATGATGCTGAGGATCCCGGAGAAGAAAAATATCATGTCCTCCAGGCACTGGGGACCAATCTACATCAAACTAACAGAGAGTGGTTACCTGCAGCTCTACTATGAGCAGGGCCTAGAAAAACCATTCCGTGAGTTCAAGTTGGAGATGTACCATGAGGTTTCCGAACCCCGGCTTCAAAACTATGATGAGAATGGTAGGATCCACAGCCTACGTATTGACCGAGTCAGCTACAAGGAAAAGAAGAAATACCAACCCAAACCTGCTGTGGCTCACACAGCAGAGAGGGAACAAGTGATTAAGCTGGGTACCACCAGTTATGATGATTTCCTGAGCTTCATCCGTGCGGTTCAGGACCGTCTCATGGATCTGCCGGTTTTATCAATGGACCTGAGCACAGTTGGTCTGAACTACCTCGAAGAGGAGATCACAGTGGATGTCAAAGACGAATTCTCTGGCATTGTGAGCAAAGGAGACAACCAGATTCTCCAGCAACACGTCTTAACACGAATCCACATTTTGAGTTTTCTCTCTGGGCTTGCGGAGTGCCGCTTGGGCCTCAATGACGTCCTTGTGAAAGGAAATGAAATCGTTTCCCGGCAGGACATCATGCCCACCACGACCACAAAGTGGATTAAGCTCCATGAATGCCGTTTTCATGGGTGTGTGGATGAGGATGTGTTCAGTAGCTCTCGGGTTATTCTCTTCAACCCTTTGGATGCGTGCCGGTTTGAGCTCATGCGGTTCAGGACAGTGTTTGCAGAGAAGTCCTTGCCTTTCACGCTCAGGACCGCAGCCAGTATCAACGGGGCAGAGGTGGAGGTGCAAAGCTGGCTGAGGATGTCATCCGGTTTCTCCTCTAACCGTGACCCTCTCACCCAGGTTCCCTGTGAGAATGTAATGGTGCGTTACCCAGTGCCCAGTGAGTGGGTGAAAAACTTCCGCAGGGAAAGTGTCCTTGGGGAAAAGTCTCTGAAAGCCAAAGTGAATCGGGGGGCAAGTTTTGGCTCAACTAGTGTCTCTGGTTCTGAGCCCGTCATGAGAGTAACACTGGGAACTGCCAAGTATGAGCATGCCTTCAACGCCATCGTGTGGAGGATAAACCGGCTGCCTGACAAAAACTCAGGTAGGTCAGGGTTTCTCTTCTGTGGAAATGCCCATATGCTCCCTGAAAGCTGGGATCACCTTCCATATCTTCTTCCTGTATCAAGTGCTTGCTTTTGTTGTGTGGTGGGAATGGTAATGGATGGGGAGGGGCACCAGAATAATTGAAATATTTGTGCAAAGTAACWAGCATGGTGACCTAGTTCACTCCATCTTTTCAGCTCCTTGTTATCATAAATCTTCCATAAAAATATGTATTACTCTGCTCAGCTAAGCCGATAAGCAGCTTTCCAAGGAAGCTTCTGAATGTTTATTCTTTTGGGACTCATTAAAGTATTAACTGTGGTGTTAAAAGCAGTCCATTTCCAGGTCCTACCTTGGAAGGCTTCTGGGTTCTAAAGAGGCATCTTTCTAGCTGTGCCTTGGATGTAGGTGAAAGGGCCAGTTTGTGGCCAATGATAATTACACATGAAAAGTTAAATTTTTGAGCTTCACTCTGTGAAGCCTGTCAGTCAAAATATCTCAAACTCAAAGTCTGGCTCTGGGACTTTGGGATGGGCAAGAAGGGAAGTGGGCTTCCAATCAGACTGAAGATCCAGCCAGAGCATAAAGGTCAAAATGGTCCAAATTTCATCAGGCACGAAGTAAATCAAGGAATGTTTTATTTAAACAAACAGAAAGCATACCAACCCTAGCTGGCCTGCTCCCAGCTGTGGGGGATGCTCTTGTGCTTGATTGAGCCCAGAAGGCAATTACTTTCCTTGTTGGTCCAGAGAGATTTAGTGACATGACAAAACAAGGCAGCAATCAAACCAGCTCTAATAGCTTTCTTTCTTAGAGTAGGCCTGGGTGACCCCAGTGGCAGGAACAAGCTCGTGATCCCATGAGCCTTCAAACCATTCTCTTCTTGTTTATAATAAATTGTGCCCATCTGTTATMAAAAGTGGATTTGCTAGTGGAGCAAAAAGAATAAGCTTTGGGAAAACTCCTGATTGATATATGTAGCTATGCTTTCATCCATTTTCACAATTAACTCCTAACTGTGTATTCAGAGTATTCCTCTCCTGGTCAGCAGGTGGAGTGGCTATGTTACCATATCCTAGGTGCAATATGACATGATAGCAAGAAGCAGTACTGTCTGGAAACTCCCCAGGCAGCCCAGAGAGCTGGCGCACACCAGGCACTCTGTGTCAGACACTGGGTGTAGCAGTGCAATCTGATGAGACAATAGGGCCTCTGTTGTTTGAGGCTGGGTTTGCTACCCTCTATTCCTAAATTGACAGAATTTCTAAAACAAGGTCTTCCTCTCTATGCTTGCTTCTTCACTTCTTTTGAAGTCAACACTGTGTTCTCCTGGTGAATACTCTGCAATTTCTATGTCAGCTGTAGACTCGCAACTTTCCAGGGAAGTAAAAACACTGAATCCCCCCATGCCACAAAAGCCCTGGGGGAAGAGAGCACTGTGGAATTACTGCACTTCCAAGCTGGAAGGGACCATGGGGAACTCAGCCAAACCTCTTCATTCTACAGATGAGAAATTAAGGCCCTGGAGGTGGTGTGACTCATCTAAAGTCTCACAACCACATCCAGGGCTCTTTTGTCAATACCACAGTCCCCACTTACATTGCAATAGATGAAGCCAAACAGACACAAACTTGAAATAATTTCTGTTACAAGAACAGAGATTTGCAGTTTTCTTAATGCATACAAGCATATCTCAAAGTGATTTAAAATATTTAAAAGTACTGTATAAGAGTTTTTTTTTAAAGATAGAGTGAGAGAGAGAGAGAATGTTAATATTTATTTTTTAGTTTTTGGCGGACACAACATCTTTGTTTGTATGTGGTGCTGAGGATTAAACCCGGGCCGCACGCATGCCAGGCGAGCGCGCTACTGCTTGAGCCACATCCCCAGCCCTAAGGGTTTTGATTATAAGCAACAAACACTGACCTTCAGAGAAGAAGAGGGAGGGAGGAATGAAAGAAATAAGGAAGGAAGGAGAAAAGGAAGGAAGGAAGAAAAGAAAGAGACAGGCTGRATGAATATGAATAGTTCAGAGAAATGAAGAAAAGTTTGAACAGACATCAGAAAAGGCAGCTCTGGAATAGCCCTYGTAACTAGTGGATTTCTCCTCAGGGTGCAGCCACTGGGACAAATGGTCACCACCATTTTCTGTCTCATTGCCAAGTGGATCCAGGCGAGGCGTGTCCAGAGCATTTTGACTCATCTAAGCATCAAGCTGATATTCAGCAGCAGGGAAGATTATTTCTCAAAAGAAGAGAAAAAAAAAGATTGCTACCAGAAAAAGGTGGAAATGGACACAGGACAGGGACAAAGCAATATAGGTCTTCAGCAAACATTTTTCTTAATGCTTCCCAGTGGAAAATATTCAGTAGCTCAAGGCCAAGTAAATGCAGCAAGTATGTTACTAGTTTACTAGAACCTTATTTGTGGGAGATTTTTAACATACAGGACAGCATAAGGATATTTAAAGATGTTCCTTACCTAAACCCCTGACCCCATGCTTTTTCTGTCATGGCTCTATAATATTTTTAGTAGTGACCCCCAATAGAGACTTCTTGTACTACTTCTGGCCCATGGTGTGTTTCTGAACCCATTCAGGAAATTAATAGTACTCTCTTCTGGAAACGAGCTGTATACGATCTATGCCCTGACCAGACTGCAATTTCCTACCGTAACTGGAAATCACTGTGCCCAGCCCTTGCCCTCTTATCCTATGCTCCATCCATGAAACAAGAAAACTGATGATGATCTATTAGTAATAGCCCCTTTTCCTGAATTCTTCTATCTAGGTGTTAGTCTTGGCAAATCGCCTTTTAAGTTTTGGGTTTTKTTTTTTTTTTTAATGACTTGCACCTCCATTTACAAGGGCCCAGCAGAAGTCAAAAGGCCCAGCTGGCTGGGAGGCCTGAACCTCTCCACACACACTCCCACCTACCTTGGCCCTGCTTCTGCATCCCACAGTTGGCGTGGCAGGCAGACTATAGGCAGCATGGGCCAGCAAGTGTGCAGCCACTGTGGGCTTGTTCTCTTCTTAGCCCCCAGGAAACCATGTAGCTGCTTTTGAATTCCATACTGCTTCCAACCAGCAGGGCCCAGCCAAGTGCACAAACCCAGCTAAATGTTCCAAGGATTCCTCCCACCGAAATCTCAGCGTTTTTTTCTTAATCTTAGGAGATGCTGGAATAAGTCCTGCTTACTCCACAGGTCTCACAAGAGGAAATAAAGCATTCTATCCTACATAGGTAACTTTGCTGGAATTCTAGTTCTCTTTAGATCAGGTAAAGATAAAACAATTCCAATAAGAATAAAGCCTTTTGGGGGGGAAAAACTGAAATTTAATGTTATATTTTCTCATTTTCATCAAGGAAAATAACATAATGTGCAGGCTTTTTTTTTTAAGCTCATTACTGTGAATTAAACTATACCAGTTTTCAAATTACACTTAAGTGTCCACCAGCCTCACACATCTAATAATGGAGGCGAGGAATCTAGGAAAAGATGTTGCCTTCAGAGTTTGCTGTGAAAGGAGGGAGTCACTTTTGTAAAAGAAATGAGTTTTCAGTATTCCAACAACATGCAAATAAAGGTAAATTAGATAAAAGCAGTTAATCAAGTTCTTAGTAAGAGACTCTTTCTATGTATGTTGTATTTTCTAATTCTATAGCAGCATATTGAGAAGAATTTAGGGCATAATTTGGAGTCAAAGTCAGATCTGCGTTTGATTCTCAGCTCTACTACTTAATTCGGTGTGACCTCAGGCAATGAATTTAACCTTCTCAGAGAAACCCAATTTTTCTCATCTGTAAAATAGGGCTAATACCYAGCTCATTCAGAATGAAATTAAGATAAGTCTTTTTTAAATGTTCAGCACAGTATCAAGTCTGTAACAAATGTCAATGAATGATAGCTATATAATTACATCTGTGGTACACAATTAAGAAGATATATGTAGATTCACTTTCAAATAATCTAATTTCTACAATTACATGTATCTTATTTAAATTCCTTTCCTAAAAACCAGTGCAGAATTTTCAGTTAATTTCCCAAAGTCTTACTTACTTACAAGTTACCATTGAATTATGTTACATTTGTGAAACAGCAAAACAAATACTTCACTCTGTAATGTTTTCCTTGGAGAGTAGGTGTGTACCTTCTTACTTTCTGAGTTTGAAAGTCCTACCCAGCCCAGTAAAAAARGGGGGGAGGGAATTGTTTACTCAGGGACAATGGATAACTAAGGAGATGTTTCAATTACACCATTAAGTCAACTAGAAAGCTCAGGCACTTTCTAGCCATGACCTTGGACAGCTCACTTTGTTTCTTGGTCTGTAAAGTGAGGATGATATTATGACTTCAAGGGTTTTGTTATGAAGATTGAGTGAGAATACCTGTGGAAAGCACTTAGCCTCCTGCAGGCACAGGGCATTCAACAATCTTTTCCTCCTGGGCTGGGGATGTGGCTCAAGCGGTAGCGCACTCGCCTGTCATGCATGTGGCCTGGGTTCKATCCTCAGCACCACATACAAGATGTTGTGTCCGCCGAAAACTAAAAAATAAATATTAAAAAAATTATCACTAAAAAAAAAATCATTTCCTGCTGTGCTTGAAGAATGACAGGAAGCTTGGAGGGTTAAAGTCACAGAACTAAGCTCTAATTTTTCTTCCCCCCCCAAGTCTAATAATAATTCTCAAACAAAAATCCTTAAATGCCATCCAAGTATAATTACATATAGACTTATAGAATTGGAGCAGCAAGGGGCTGTGCCTGGCATACACCAGCCCACCCTTTTGTTATCCCTTCCATCTCTCCCCACTTTACAGTTGAGGAATTGAGACCTGGGGAGAACAAAAGACTTGGGTGTGGACTCTATGCCACTTGCATTGCAGCTGGAAGCCAATGCATGGTATTCTGATGTGGATCAGTTATTCTGAGGCGTGTACCACACTTTCCCTAATACATGTGTGCTGTCCATAAGGCTTTTGTCACTTACATATGTCATTCACCCACAGAAATATGTTAAAAGCCTTTTTGAAAATATGAAATGCTATTAAGAAAAGTCAACTCATCCTTCAAAGGAAAGCAATGATTTTGCTCCAGGTGGCTGACATTGATGTTTTACTATGTGCTAAGTGCTGATCCCTTTTACTCTATTCTTTGAATCTACAGCCCTTTTTAGTTTGTACTGCATCCACATATCACCCTGATCTAAGCAGGCAGAGTGGTCTGTTTCTCAGGCTGTGGGTTTTATTGATAGGATACTGGGCAGTGGTCATTAGACAATGTTTTATCAAATGGTCTAAGGCATACAGAGCCTGCTGCAGCAAATCCTCCACTTAACACTGGACCATCTGTAAGACTGCCAGGTGCCCAGCCTACTGGTCTCCTTTGTTACTGAGGTAGCTCTTTTGACCTTTTTAAAATTTTTTAAATTCATCCCCCAAAGAACCTGACCTGGATTCTTTCTTTCATAGCTTCTGGTCACCCACACTGTTTCTTTTGCCACCTTGAACTTGGTTCTGACCGGGAAGTGCCTTCCAGATTTGCCAGTCATGTGGATGTTGAGTTCAACATGCCCACAACTTCTGCCTCCAAAGCCGCTGTGAGATCCATCTCCGTGGAAGATAAGACTGATGTCAGGAAGTGGGTCAATTATTCCGCACATTACAGCTACAAGGTAGCCTTGGGAAGGGTCTGCCTGATGTTTGCAAGTCCATCTCTTCACACTACTACCCTCCCCCTCCTTAATCCTTTTAGCAATGCTTACTGTTGTGCAGAGTATGCTCTTAGCATTCTAGAGGAAGTACACATACATAGCTGTGGATGAGTCTGCTCTGATTTTAATGAATAATCTCTTGTGAGCAAGACAAAGGTTGAAAAAAAAAATGAAGGGGCTGTTTACAGAGGAGAATGCAATGTCTCTGTCCTTGTGAATAACAGCAGTAGAAAGAACAGAGGGCCTGGTGTGGTAGTGCACACTTGTAATCCTCCCAGTGGCTTGGAAAGCTGAGACAGGTTCAAAACCAGCCTCAGCAACTTAGCAAGACCCGGTCTCAAAATAAAAAATAAAAAGGGCTGGGAATGTCCTCAGTGGTTAAGTGCCTCTGGATTCAATCTCTGGTACCAAGAAAAGAAGAAAAAGAAAAAAAGAACAGTGGGTGTAAATTTATTATTACTCATTTGTAATATACTTTTTTGCAAAATAGTGAATGTGGAAGCAGAAGGGAGTTATCAGGAACTTGTCTAACCCTAAACACATTTCATCAGCATGAGTTGATGAAGTGGATCAAAACAAATTTAAGACACATATGCCTGGGCACTGAGCTGTTACAATACAGCAAATTTCTACAATGGTATTAGGATCCGGGCTATGGAAGGAGTAATAAAAATTGTTGTTTTAAACAAGGATTTTGCAAAGTGGTTTAATAATTTCCTATTCACAATGATACCCTTACATTTATATGGTGATTTATGATTCCTCTGTTTCCTTAGTTGTGTGGTCTAAAACAAAAAGAACAAATACTCCATCTTGTGGCCAGGAAAAAAATAGCATTTTCCTCAAGCATGACCCTGTGCTGTCTTGAATCATTACCCTCCAAATGGAGCGGTATACTCAGAGAAGCAACGTTAATTATGAAATTCCTGAGCTTAAGGGATTCCCTGCCTGACTTATCAAAGGCTTCATTTGAAGTGTGATATTTTCAAGTGGAGATTTATTTATTGGACCCTTTGTAATGACAGCATATTTTGCAGAAGATATGGTAGAACTGTAAACACTTCACTACTTCYAGTTTGGAGGCTTTTAAAGTGGTAAAATATTTGGAAAGGTTTAAAGAATCAGTTACAAAGGAATTTATTTATTTGATAAACATTCATCAATTGCCTCCTGTTTTTCTATATTATTAGATAAAATGGTGAACAAGAGCTTGCCCCTGTCCTGTGGAGCCCGTGGAACAGTGGAGCCAGACTAGTGTACGAGATAAAGTAGAAATATTCATAGGGGAAGCACAAAAGTCTGCTTAATGAGTCCAGAACAGAGGCAACCTTTGAGTAACTATACATGACAAACAATAAGAATTTTTCAGGTAATCCATGAGGAAGAGGGAATATCAGATCATGTGAAGAACATATGCAAAGTGAAAGTCATGATGATGCACTAGGGCCAGTAGCTCCAACATGRATAACCTGACATTAGTACAATTACAAGGAATCCTAAAAGACACTACCAAGATTCTTTTTAGTTTTTGCGCCCTTCCTTCTTTCCTTCTTTCCTTCCTTCCCTCCTTTCTTTCTTGTTATTGTTTTGTTTTGATGTTTTCTCCAATTTTTATTTTGGCAGGTGGAAATTGAACAAAAAAAGAGTTTGAAGCCAGACTTTGAAGGAGATGAAGTAGAAAATCCCAAGGAGTGTGGGATACAGTGACAAAGCCTTCAGTGAGGAACCTGATCCAAGAGTCATGACAGGGTGTCTTCCTGAATAGCTGAGGTTTAAGTCAATACCTGCTGTGGCCACTCCATGCTGGGAACAGTCCATCAGATCTTCTCATTTACAGTCACCTGTATTTTAGCAGGAACCCTGAGGTGGCTGCTGTGGAGAGAGGCTTGTTGAGTCTGACCATACCTGAAGCACACGGTTCATCTGACTTTTGGAGCTTACTGTGTAATTGAGCCTCCTTGTCTTTTTTCTGCTTATATCAGAGCACTGGCTTATGGTTTTTTGTGACTGTTAGTCTGTAAAAGAACCTCCAACATCAGTGTTGGCATGATTTCTTTCTGATGTTCATCTGCCACTCATGAATTTCTGAAAAAAGTAAAAAAGCAGTCTTAAGAATTCATATCTGTCACCAGGCACAGTGACACATACCTATAATCCCAGTGACTCAGGAGGCTGAGAAAGGAGGATCACAAGTTCGAGGCCAGCGTCATCCATTTAGTGAAGCCCTCAGCAACTTAGTGATACCCGTCTTAAAAAATAGAAAGTGTTAGGGATATGGCTCAGTAGTGAAGTACCCCCTGGATCAATCCCTAGTTTCAAAAAAAAAAATTTTTTTTTTTTTTTTTTTTTTTTAGTATCTGTCACTTCACTCCTCTAGAAAAGGTTCAGAAAAGATTCACAACAAATTTCTTCTTTGGGTCGGCTAGACCTCTCATAGAAATCTCCATTCTTCAAATGTTAACACTATGCAACAGAAATTTTTCAGATTTCCTCCTGGTTCTAGATTGTTTAGATTGAAACACTTTTTCCATTTCTCTGAGATTTCAGTCACAGGATTTGCTGTCCTAAATTACAATAGACAATAGGAAAAGGCCTATTAGGATATATTTTTATTCTGTGATTGGACCTACATTCTGCAAATGGATTGGACTAGATTTACATTCTGTTGAAGGGAAAGCAAAATTGAACKTATTTCCTTTCTCCTCATTCTGACGAGAAGGGACATTAAATTTAAGATTATATACATATCGGGAGACACTTTCAATATCATTAAATTCCCAAATTCACACTGAAAAATACAGGCCACTTCTGATTCCTGAAGCAACACACACACGCACGCACGCACTCACGCACGCACACACACACACGCACGCATGCACACTCTATACCTCAGGCAGTTGTCAGGGGCATTTGGGAGTTCTTTTTATACCTCGTAGCCAAAATACTGTTACATGGCTCTTCAGCTCACTTAATAGGAGATTTAAGCTGAAAAGATAATTTTAAAGATTGAATGAGCTTTCCCACAAAATTCAGAGTTCGATAATCACAGTATTATAATAGATCAAAAATGCAGAAAACTGTAGGGTAAGGGTGGGGAAAAGCCATATTTATCAATGTTRTGAACATTAAATCCTGATTCTAAGAGTCAGGACACTCTGCCTTCTTTTCCTGCTTACCTTTGTTTCTTATTTGTACCTTGGTGTTTTCTCTCATGAAGAATGGAGTGAGGGGACAGAAAGTACACTTTTATCAGCTTTGTACATAATAGAGAAATAAATAATATCTCCAGTTTTGGAATGACCAATTTCAGGACTAATTTATTCAATGAATATTCATTGAATTCTAACTATGTACTGATAATAGGTTATAAAAATTGTTACAATATTTTGAAGTATCTAAGCACAGGAGTGAATCTATAAAAGAATGAGTTGGATAGGCATTAATGAGAACCCCTCTTTCTGAGTTTTTAAAATGCAACCCTTTAAGTATAGAGTAGAATACCATGTGAATGTGTGTGTTTGTGTGTGTGTTCATAAACAAGGTCATTGGGAAGACATTTCTGTAGCCATTCATGTAAAAATATTTTCTTAGGGAAATGATAGTTCAGTTTTGAATTGGGAGAATACTGTAGCTATTCACAAAACTAATGCATTCAACCTATGTCAAATGAAGTTTAGAAAGTTCTACAAGATGTATTGTTAGTACACATCTGGATGGAGGGTTGGGTTCAATTATATATACTGTATTTTAAGAGAGACATTAATAACTTGATTGTCCACAAGCAGGTGATCAGGGTTGTGCAGAGTCTGATTATATAAGAAATAGGGGACTAGCTACCCTGAGGAACAGAAGATATAGCTGGGAAGGGAGTACAGAGAAGGAAGGAATATTATAATAGCTGCCTCAAATTTTCTGTTGATCTATAAAAAGAGGAAATAGATTTGTTTTGTGTAGCTTCAGAGGGCAAAAATAAGAATGAAGAGGAACTTTAAAGATGTCTGCTTTAATATAAGAAAGAATTCTCTAAGAAAAGTTGTTCTAAAGAGGAATAAACTCAAGTGTAAAATTTCCTGTTGCTGCCTATGCCCAAAGGTTACAATAACCACCTATCCTGGGTGCTATGAAAGGGACTCTCACATTTAGATTTGGGTTCGATGATTGCCAAGATCCCTTCTAAATAGTCTCAATAGGAATAAGTCTCTAATTCCAGTGATCTTTTCCTTCTTACATATTAACATGTTCTTTAGAATATAGCAGAGCCCCCAAAGGGCTTTGTCAAGGGATTTCAAAGCACATCCTTTCCCTGGTTGTACTAAAGGAACTTAAGATTCCTAAGGAGTCTGCTTGGGTTGGAGAGTTGGCAAGATGAATAAGAGCATCCTCACCCCTTCCTTACCAAGCTGAGCACTGTGTCCAGATCCCTGCCTCCCTGCTATCAGAGCATGCAGATTGCTTGATGGATCTCAGCCCTATCCCCTTGGCTAATTCTCATGCCTTCTTGCTTTCACCTGGACTGTGATTTCTAACCAAAAGTTGGGAAATCCCTTCCATGCTTTCTACATTCAAGCCAGCCAATTATTACTAATTTTTAAAAACCTACTACCTTGATTTCATCAAATTTGTTTTGCCTCTGATTAAAATCAGAGGGAACTGATTATGGGTAACATTTCAGGGGTTGGGAGAGTCAATACAATATATTTTTACTGTTTTACTAATAACTTCCATAAACACAGCTGGGCAGATTACCTTTTTGATGTGCAAATTGTTTGTCACTGTGGACCTGGTTGGTTTGTTTGTTTGTTTGTTTGTTTGTTTGTTTGTTTTGTGTGTGTAGGGAGTTACCAAAAAAATCCTGGTCTATTATCAAAAATGTGAAAATATTAAAAGTGAATTTATTTTACCAATACATAGTGTTACAATAGAACATAAATTAGATGTCACATGACATCAATAGCTGTACTTGCTTTCTAGGGCTTGCTTTTCAACTACACAGTAAAAGAGGGCACAAAATGTATTCATTATGATATGTCAAAGTGGGGAGACCATTCAACCCCCTTTGGTTGCTCTTATAGACATAGTAGTTATTCCTTATCAAAAGTTTGCACTTTGTTCATATTAAATATCACCTGGACAGTTGTATTGTGCTTTTTTACTTTCTGTTTGGTTCTTCTTTTATTCTCTACCTTCCTGAATTATTATTAGGGCTCCTAATCCTTGAGAACATTTTTTAATTTAAAATATTTTTTGTTTGAAATGAGACTAATTTTTATTCAAATCCTGTGGTTAGAGTGAAAGTTTATTTCCCTAGAAACTCAAGTTCCTAAGAAATGTGATGTTGAAGACAAGGAGCACATCTTATTCTTTTTGTTTCCAATAACTAGCACAAAGCTTGGAATTTAATAAGGTTCAGCCATCTTAAATCTTTATTGATAGGGCAAACATATTCATGAAATAAAAGGAAGTTATTYGATATTTAATAAATGTTTGTCAATAGAAAACTTCCCCTGAAACTCTAAGGGTACCATCAAATACTCATATTAAAGCAAACAAGCAGCTTTTATTTTCTGGAGGATTTAAATAATTTTTCTTGCCAGGCGCGGTGGTGCATGCCTGTAATCTCAGCGGCTTGGGAGGCTGAGGCAGGAGGATCATGAGTTCAAAGCTAGTAAAAACAAAGCAAAAAAAGTGAGGTGCTAAGCAACTTGGTAAGACCCTGTCTCTGATAAAATACAAAATAGGGCTGGAGATGTGGCTCAGTGAGTGCCGTGAGTGCCCAAGTTCAATCCCCAGTCCAAAAAAATAATTATTATTTTTCTTTTATTCTTGCCTTGAAAGTCAACTAATAAGAACTGTTGGCACTTAAACATTTCTTGTGCTACCGAATTTGAACTTAAATGTACCATATTCATACTGAGAAACATTTGTATGCCCCAAAGTGCAAAGGCAAGATGTGCTGCCTATAGCCAGATTGATTCAGTTTTGGTGCTGCACCTCAGCTCTATGGGCCCAGACCTTGCCCATTAGAATGGCCAAAGCAGAAGAAAGCATTTGATGGGAGTGCACAGCCAGTCTCAGTGTGCCAGGTCTTTGTTCTCCCCAACATTAACCACAACTGGGGTTACTGTCACCACAGTGATAAAGGTCTGAAAAGGCTGAAACTTGCCAGATGAAATCTTGATAAAAGTAATAATTTGATTGATGGAAAAGTAGAAAATATGCTATTTTTTTTTCTTACAGCCTTGGGAATTACTAAACTGGTGTGAGTAGGAAGCACTACCACCCAGCCTACATAGATACATTCTCCCTGTTGGAATTGGTAATTTTTAACTCAAGAATTATTATAAGTTATTTTCAGCATATCCAGAGTTTAGATTATGTGAAGAATGCAATCCAACAGGGATTTTTAACAAAACCAACAAAAATAAAAATTTTAAAAATTATCTGGTAAACAAAGTGTCTGAACACTACACTACCAAATCCCCTCCAAACCATGACAATTCTGTATGTAAAATCAAGACATTCTCACCAAGTTTCTAAAGRTGTTTTCTAAACATTAGCAATGCCTAAATGCCCTACAAATCACCAATTCTTAATTATGTTTTTTTGTAAATGAGACTGACTTTGAGTATTATGATTCATATTTATATACTTTAAGAATTAAAAGTGAAGGAGATGTAAGGCAACCGTAAATGTAGAGAACAAATGTATCTATTAGTAACATTTTCCCATGTGTTAACTGCAGCAAAAATGTGGAATTTTTACATTTCTTTTAGAGTGCCTTAGCAAATCTGCTTSGGAAAATCTAGTCCTATGTTTTGAGAATTGAAAAAGAAAAATGTATCACTCCACTTAAAATTCCAGCCTATAGGGGCTGGGGATATGGCTCAAGCGGTAGCGCGCTCGCCTGGCATGCGTGCGGCCCGGGTTCGATCCTCAGCACCACATACCAACAAAGATGTTGTGTCCGCCGAGAACTAAAAAATAAATATTTAAAAATCTCTCTCTCTCTCTCTCTCTCTCTCTCTCTCTCTCTCTCTCTCTCTCTCTCTCTCTCTCTCTCTCTCACACACACTCTCTTAAAAAAAAAATTCCAGCCTATAAAGGCAGAAACCTTTCATAATAATATGTTTGGCAGTACCTAGACAAAGGCAAGTAACAACTGGATATAATAAAAAGTTATAAAAGAACAGGCTAAAGAAAATAGTATCTCAATATGAAAAAATATAAAAAGAGATGGAGAATATAGCTTTGGACAATAACCCTCAAAATACTTAACTAGAGGCCTTCTCTTAAAGCTAAAAGTAAGCTGTAGGAAAAAAGATTGCAAGGCAGGGATAAATAAAAGAATCATTCAGATCAAGAGGTATTTGTCCAGTGTCTACTCTGGTCAGGGTGCTCTGTTAGCAGCCAAACACAAGGACACTGAGGATTATTTATATAAAGTTGTTAGTAGGTGTGTGCCATGATGGCTTTATTAAGGGAAAAATTGGCATTTGTATGAATCTCTAGAACATTGTCATGGAGACAATCACTATGTTAATTGACTTGTTATTTTGTCAGTTGGACTTCAGTTTCTAATAAAGGAGAGGACTGGACTAATTGTTCAGATTCTTTCCATCTCTAGTTTTATGAGTTACCTTACAAAATATCCTTTAGTGCCAATTTTTGTGTGAAAGTTCCATGCCAATAATACTTCATATATTCTTACAAACCAAGAATTTGAATTTTGAGGACTGAGAAAATCAACTGCTTCATCTTTCTTTATTTTCATGTCTCTACCCTTCACCATCAGCCGGGAAGATGGAAACACAGGAAACCCTGCAATTATCTATTTTTTAGTTGCCTTTAAAACACCAAAGAGGGTGGTGAAGACTACTGGGAATGCTGCTCTGGAAGCTCCATGGGGTACTACCCCTCCAAGCAGTGGTGTGAGTGTGAAGAGAAGCAGACAGTTCTCCAAAATGGACATTAGGATCCCGGTATGACTTCAAGCAGATGTAGCTCGAATCCTCCAAGGTACTGAGGATGTCGGGATAATCCTTGACTTATAACCTACATGACCTTTATACAAAAACTGCAGGACTTGAGGGAGGAAAGTGTACTCAGTCAACAGTCTGGGACTATTTGTAAGTTACAGTAAAACCAGAGAGAAGGGGATAGTCCCCTGACACACACCTCCTTTCTCTCAGTAACATAAAAATGTACTTTAAAATTTTTAAAAACATGTACAAGCTACGAAATATAGCTTTTCTCGTGTGGTATTTGTGGCTTGACTATGATTTTAGTTTCTTTTCTGGTTGTGCTTAATGTCAGATGTAATGGATGAATTCCAACTGCACTGAGCAAGGAATTCCAGCATCCTCTTCCTGTTCACTCCTTTGTTCTGCCTCAGTTCTAGTTGTGGACACTGTCCAGCAACATGGGGACCTAAGCCTTAAACATCGTTACTTGCCTCCATGTGCTGTAGGATGGCCAACTTAGAGGTATTCCACTGGTTCCAGGAAAGCAGATTTGCATTCATCTCTCAATAGGAGCCTGTTGGGCTTAAGGGTTTTAAAGAATGGGGTGAGAGAAGGGAATAACGTGAACTCCTCTGACCCTCAGCCAGCGTGCATTTAATCTTCATGTCCACTTGCCAACAGAATCTGAAAACTTTGCCACCTTCAAGAGATAAGTCAGAATTAATGTTTTAGCCAGAGGTAACAGAGGGGTGCTGCTCTTTGCCCTTCTTTTTTGTAATGTCCATAGTGAATTTCAATGTGCCAGGGTGGATGAACCCAGGATCCAGTGAATAATTCAGCCCCTTCAACCTTATACTTTCCTTCTTCATCCATCCTCAATCAGTGTGACTTCTTGCATTGTTGTGGTTAATTTTATGTAAAACCAGTTTACTTTTAAAAACGTGCCTATGTAATAATAAAGTCTACACACTGGCCATCTCTGTAGAGGTGAGGTTTTATTTTAGTTCTGCTTATTACAATCTGTAATGCCTTTTTTTGAGCTTTGAAAATGAACTGTTAATAAAAGTTTTTAAACAAAGTGTCTCACTGTGCAATGTTTAATGAGGATTGGCATAAGGAAGAGTAAATGTGTATTAATAAGGCCCATCACCTAATTCAGATGGTTAGTAGTTATCAGCCAATAAGTTAGCAAGGGGCCCATTAATTATTCTCATCCAATTTGTCATGTATATAATTTGCGATATTATTTATCGAATTCCTATTTTGTGCCCAATACTGTGAGAAAACAAATGAAAAATGATATAATCCTTAAGAAGTACATACATAATAAGAAATGTAAAGGGGTACATAAATAATAAATTCACATTATGTTCCTGGCATATTGTCAGTGCTCAAAAAGTAATTTTCAGTCGAGATGAATCCTAATTACAAATGTCAACATAAACTCAGAAGGAAGACAACTGGTATAGACTAGAATATTTAAAATTTTCACAGGAAGGATAGCTTTTAGGTGAGACCTGAAGTGAGGTAGAYGTTTGGCTCAGTGGCAAGAGGAAGGGAACCTAGGGGTGGCAAGAGGCAGGAACAAAAATGGTATGTTGGGTTAGCAGATCAGCTTGATCTGAGTGATGGTTAGGCTGAGCCATAGTAGTAGAGCCTGCCTCCAGCCCCAAATTGGACTCAATATAGTAAAAGCTATGAAGCCATTTTGGAGTCCCACCAATGAAGCATCATTCTAGAAAGACAAGTTTTTCAACAACAACCAGTCAACAACATGCTAGGTATTTTGGACTATGGGAAATATTAAAAGCAAGGAAAATAAAGTGGGTTTTTTGTTTGTTTGCTTGTTTGGGAGTGAAAGCAAAAAATAAACTGAGCTTTGCGTTTAATTCACATTGACAAAGGACATTTTATTGCAAAGTAAAAGCACCTACTAGAGGAGAACTCACACCAGTTCAGTGGCCCTCTGCTGTCTACAGATCTCTGTCCTGAACAAAACACAGAACTGTATAGCCTAATCTGTATAAAATTGGAGCTAGAAACTGATATCAGGTGCACAGAAGGGTAAACAGTCAAAGATCATAACTTTTGCTTAAGTTGGGAATCTGTCAAAAATATTCTACTTATTCTATTGTCCTGGAGAACTCCTTGTCTAGGTTCCACACCATCATAAGAATTAGCCTTGTGGGGCTGCCCTTTCCTTTAATATTCTGATAGAATACTCAAGTAACAAGCCAAACATGCTCACCAGATTTGGGTAGAAAGAATTGAGAATGAGAGGAAGTGAAGATGACATGTAATTGTCTTTAGGGTCATCTGCCATTCTTGTTGCAAACTCCTCCCAGTTCCTTCATCACCTCGGTGTAATACCTCTCTGTTTCAACTTCCTCTCTTTCCAAGACACAATATTAGCTAAAACTCTTGTAATGCTTGTACTCTGGGGTAACCACTGGTACAGGATTTTATGTGTATTATTTAACAAAAGTATCCCCCTCTCTCCATTCCTCAAGGCACTAATAATTCCAGGCGGGTGGATATAACAGATGTTTACCAAATGTTAGCCATTGATGATTATCTATAGTATAAAAAATAGCAAAGAACTTACAACTGAATATCAGACATTCCTGCTCCATTGGCCAAGCCCACAGAGGGAATTCCTTATTAAACATCTTTCCCCTTTGCCCCTAACACGCATAGATAGGCTAACTCCTCAAGTCCCCAAACCACTGTCTGACTGCCAAGGGAAAACTGGAAACTCTTCTTAAAAGTCCTTCTTTAATGGGAATTAAGTTCTAATCTTCAAAATCATGTAAATAGCCTAAAATAAAGTAGAACTAAGGATCAGTCTTTTTTGATGATAGTTGCTCTATGACCCTCAATTAATTTTTCAATTTCTTCCATGAGGATTCTAAAAGAGTCATCACCAACCAAGATCCCAAGCCATCTGAACAGTGTGTTCCAGTCATGGTTAGTGTGAGGAAGTCATTAAAATGAGTCGTATAATTCTTCTCTCAGTTTTACCAACATGAATCAAGTGTTTCAGACTTGACAGCATTTTTCATCTCCTTCAGAGTGTGATGGCAGACCAAATAAATTGAAGTGGAAGTAAAATAAGTCTCCACTCTACCTCACCTTATTATGCAAAGCAGTTTTAGCTCCATTCCATCTCATCCTGTCATAGACTGACCCAATTGAAGTATCTTTCCAAAAAAAAAAAGTCTATATTAGATCTCCACAAAAGAACTAACAACAAAAATCACCAATTTTTTCCCTTTAGAGGTCTCAAAAGCTACAGATAAAATTTTCAGAAAAACTAAGGTCAAAAATACCTGTACTACTTTTCTCCCATAACAGAGTCCAGGTCAACATATAGGAACAGGGTAGATAGAATCTATTCACTATTCATCTGGAGCAAACCACAGTGATCAGGGAATTTAGCCCCCATCCCCTTCTCCTCCCTTCTTCTCTCCCCTCTTTTTTTTCTCTTCTTTTATTTCTCACTAACCAAGAATAAAGTCCTGGGCTGGGGATGTGGCTCAAGTGGTAGCGCGCTCGCCTGGCATGCGTGCGGCCCAGGTTCGATCCTAAGCAACTAAAAAATAAATATTAAAATTCTCTCTCTCTCTCTCTAAAAAAAAAAATAATAATAAAGTCCTGCTTAATCTAATGATAGTACCAGAGAAAGGAACATATCTTAGAGATCTGAAATAGTCTTTAGTTATTTCTGTCCACATTGACCTCTTTTCGTCCAAACTCCTGTTTTGTATTGTGTCTACTGTTAGGTCCCTAGACATTAGTTACTCCATTTTGGTTCTGGGACTCAGAACCAAAACTTATAAACTGCCAAGAAAAAGAAACTTAAGATACTCTGTTCCCACCCCCCCCCCCCCCCCCATCCAAGGTCTCTACGTAGAAAAATTTGTTGATACCCAGCCACCTACACCCAAGGTCAATTCTAGCCTGCTCCACCCAAGGTCATTTCCAGCTTGCTCTTGTTCCTTGTTAAAAAGGAAAAAAACAAATAAAAACAAAAAAAAACTCCTCTATTCAAGTGACTGCCTGCTTTGTCTTGCAGAGGGGCAGCCTGGCAGACACTCTCTGTCAATAAACCTTTGCTTGAACTCAGAAATGGATATTTGTGCCAGCTACCCTAACATCCACTGACTCCCCCCGCCCCCTGCTGGGGATTGATCTCAGGCTTGCTAGGTAAGTGCTCTATCACTGTACCACTGAGCTACATCCCCCGCCACTATATGCTGCCTTTTAATGTTTTATATTTATTAGTTTGCCATACTCATTAAAAAGCAACAGTCAAGAGAATTGGCTTTCTTAGTATATGACAAAACTTACCAAAAATAATAATGACTCAGCAGAAACAAATCAACATGCAATTGAAAATGACCAAAATTTACTCTGAATTCAAATATTACTTTTTTGTAATATCCCTTGAAATCAATCCCTCTTCTATCAAGGAAACTGCAGTCTGTGATGTCTTCTTTCCACTACTGCTTTTCTCTCTTTGCAACTCTGAAGTTATTGTCATCAGTAATGCTGCAAGCATGTTTAATTCTCCTGATGCCAGGCAGTAAAAAATTCATCCCCTTTAACTCATTTAATACTTTGATAAAGATACTGAGAAAAAACTGAAATTTTTTTCCTCTCCTGTTCTATCAGCATAATACTCCTGACACCAACTCTAGAAACAGAAAAAGTCAAAAGCAAAGTATTTTTATCTACTGTCTATTTTGGACAGGAGATGTGTGAGAGTTTTTTCCCATGTATTATGCAATTCTGCAGAATCCTCTAATTCAACTCAATTTTGATACTATCTGGAGATAACACCAGATCCCACTGAATCTGGTTGAGTTGATCCTATAAATAAATAGTCTACTAGAAACCCAGTGTTTAAATTTTTTTGATTTTTTTTGGGGGGGCTGCTAAAATACCAAATACAAACAAATACAAAACGGTAACCCAGTATTTTTTGATTTTAAAATTATGAACTTAGGGCTCGGAATGTAGTTCAATAGTAGAGCATGTGGCTAGAACATGCAAAGCCCCAGTACTGAAAAAAAAAATACATATATGAATTTAAGGAGTTCCCAAGATATCAGTCTGTGCTCAGTTTGGGAAAAGCTAACATGAAAATATAGATGATTTATCAAGAAAAACATTAAAAATAATAAAAATCTGTATAACTAAGGAAAAATAAGAGCAAACCCAGGACATTTCACAAAGGTAAACATTCACTTCTAATGAATGAGATTACATTTTTCTATCTAYGTCTTTGAGCCCTTTTCTTAAAATTTCCAGTGATGAGATTCCTATGTGCAGCTGGACTACACTTCAGTTGGGGAATGTTCTCTGTGGCAAGTCAGCACAGTCAAATGGAGCATGGAGTGTGGAAGGCAAGGTTTTTCCCACCTCCCAAACCCAACCTCTTTATGCCCTGAAACGTTCTTTTTATAAACTGGTGCTTCAATAATGGCAACACCAATTCACTTTCCCAGAAATGTGCTGCCCCTAGAATCCTAGCTCAGAGAAGAAGGAATTCTGTCTATCAGTAACAGATATATACACAATTCTCTAGTCTTCAGGATACAAAATCAATATATGAAAACCAGTAACTTTCCCAAACACCAATAATAAATCTGCTGAGAAAAAAAAATCAGGAAATCAATCCTATTCATAATAGCCTCAAAAATTAAACAAAATATCTAGAAATAAATGTAACTAGAAGGTGAAAGACTTCTACAATGAAAATTATGGAACACTGAAGAAAGAAATTGAGGAAGTTACTAGAAGATGGCAATACCTTCTATGTTCATGGATAGGCAGAATTAATTGTTAAACTGGCCATATCACCAAAGCAATCTGCAGATTCAAAACACTCACCATTGAAATACCAATAACATTCTTCACAGAACTGAGAAAAAAAGTCCTGAAATTCATTTGAACGAATAATAATAATAAAAACAAAACAGCCAAAGYAATTCTAAGCACAAAAAGCAATGCTAGAGGCATAATAATACCTGCCTTCAAATTATACTAGAACTATAGTAACAAAAACTG